TCCTGCTTGTGTGCGCTCTCTCTCTCTCCCTCCCGCCCCCTCTCTCTAAAATAAATAAATCTGTAAAATAAAATAAGCATGTAAGAGTGCCCACAAGTAGAAAAGACTAGTACTTTATGTGCTTTAGGTTAGAGACCCTGAAATGTTAACAGATTAGTTTTAATAATTGGTTTGAATTGCGGGCTTAGGGGTTAGGACTCAGGTTCTGGAGCCACCTCACATCTGAACTGAATCCTGCCTCTCTGCTGCTCCTGAGCCTCGGGCTGCCTGCGTACCCTAACGGAACCTGCCTCAGTGTAAGGACGTGCGTGTGAAAGGTGGGGAAGAGCTTGGCATAGGTGGATGCTAGCTGTTACTGTTGCTATTACTTTAAAACACACTGAGCTTTCTTGGAGTCAGGATTTGTAGTGGTCCTACTGCTTCTAAGATTAAGAAAAAGTCTATTTACTTATATTTTAATTAAAACAATTTAATTTCACTTTCGTCTGCTTTTTGTTTCTTCTTTCTTTTAGTTCATCTTCCCTACTTCTCTCCCTTTACCTCAGAACAAAGCTGCATGCCCAGCCCTCCTGCGCATTTCGTTCTTTCCTTGAAGTTTCTGGCACCAACTGTTTTTTGACCCTTCTCCAGCTTTGCAGATTCCCTTTTCCAAACTTTAATTGAATTAAAATCATCTTATATGTCACATTTCTCATGTGCCCTCTTGCTCTGATTGATACATTCCCTGTGAAGGGAAGCTTTGTACTGTGCAGGGTCTCAGTGGGCCCCAGGTCAGAGGGGTGGCCCTGTGTTAATATTGTTTTTATGTGAAAATATTTGTACTAGCCAACTATACAAATAAAAACACGGCTCCATTGGTGTATGATTTTCTCTTTGATCTTTCTGAGATAAAAGTCATTATTAGTAAATTACTGTATGAAAGATCAAAATGAACAAATCTAATTTTGGGGTAACCAAGTCTACATGTTGCAAGTTCCTCATAGCTTATTGAAGAATACTGGAAATTTGTTACAGTATGTGAGCTTTTTCATGGAAAAGTGAGAATTTTCAGAAGTAGTTAAGTGAGAGGTACTCTGTTCTTCAGTGGAGCCATTGCTCACTCACATTCATTTGCAAAGTTAATTATGCTATTTGGAAAAAAAATTTTTTTAGTTTTAAAAATATTGACCCAACTGTTTTAGTCAAATATTTGCCAACTGCCTATGTTAAGGAAAACATACGCTTAAAGCTTTTATGATGGGTCTGTGAAGTGTAACAGTCATGTTTGTTTGCTTCAGGTAAGTTGTATTTGTCATTCTTTGTATGCTTTAAAATGTTTATTGGATAATGGCATTTAATTGAACAATAAACTCTAATAAGAGCCTATAAGTCATGTCAGAAATACTGGCCAGGGCACCTGGGTGGCTTAAGTCAGTTAAGCGTCTGCCTTCAGCTCAGGTCATGATCCCAGAGTCCTGGGATCGAGCCCCGAGTCGGGCTCCCTCCCTGCTCAGCTGGGAGCCTGCTTCTCCCTCTCCCTCTGCTGCTCCTCCTGCTTGTGCACTTATGCGCGCACTCTCTCTCTCTCTTTCCCTCT